TATGTCTCTCGGCTGGCCTGGGAACGCCTCGGGATTCCCCCAGAGGAGCTGGATGAAGTGGCCGGGGAGAGCTGGGTTTCCCTGCTGAGACTGCTGCCCCCGCGACCCAACCTCGGATAAGCGGGAGAAAATGGATGGATGGATGCTTGTCAATAGACTTTTGTTATGAACACAATACATTTATACCATTTTGGCAGAATTAAAGAAGCGTCTCAAAACTTTCTGTGAGCGTTATATTATAAATCTGTATCCAAGGAGGTGCAGTAGTGACCTAGAATTCTGGTGTGTGTGGAGGATGTGCTTTTGCTACCTTAGTTGTGGTCAGTTAATGCAATTCCTCAGTCTCAAATTCCTGAAGAATATCTCCCAGCTTGTGATTAGATAGATGGTCATGGAATAGAAATTATTTTTGGATTAAAGTGCAGGTAAGATCCGTATTCATTGGTTATCTTTTAGTGTTGGGGATGAAAGTTCCCTGAATGTGTCGATCGTTCAGAGACAGAAGTGCGATACTGCAAAAAGAGGAAGTACAGAGAAAAAAAAAGACTCGGACAGATGACTAATCTGTTCGATGTGTAAAGTGGTGTGCTAAGCTGGCAACAACCACAGCTTTGCTGTTTCCATAGTGATGTAAAAACAGTAATGAATATGCCTGAAATAAGCTGAAGTGTGCTGTATTTATGTGGTGCTAGACCAGTAGCCTAGTTAGACCCTGTCGTGAGGTTCACTCTTTTATCTGTGCTAGTGCTGGTCCCTGTGTAAAGAAGATAAGCTCAGTCCAGTTACTTTTTACTTACATTTGATTTTTTATCCATTTATAAAGTTAGAAAATTTCATACTTCAGAGAGGAGCTTTTTTCCAGAGAGACACCAGAAGACACCTTCAACCTTCCTAAACCCCTTTGTAATCAGTGGATTGTACTACACATATAACTAAAGTTTTCATGCATGAGAATCATTCTGTCCTGTTTAAGCTGCTGTTTATTGAGTGCTAAAGAATTTAGTGGGGGAGCGGAAGTTACTAGAATGTCAGTGGCAAATGGCATACACATCCATGTTTAAGAGATTATATCATACATTATATCTAGCAAAACAGGCAGAGCTAGCCTGTAGCCATGTAGTTTTGATCGGAGAGTGGATACGGAAGGTTCTTGAACAGTGCTTAGCTATGTCTGTGTGAGAACTTCACATGCAACTGCTCTGTAGAACAGGAAGAGCTCTTCCCCTGGCAATACAAGCAAGTGAGATGGGGTTCCTGTGCTGCAGGAGTTTTAAGGTTTGGGTTATTGTTTGAGATCAGTTTAAGCTTTGAGATGGGGTTTAGTTTTAACAGGTAGAACATGAGTCACTGTGGTCCCTAGGCTGACATCAGTTTGGGCACTCAGGTATTGCCGATTTAACTAACCCAGGGATGTCAAACTCAGGGCCTGCTTGCTATAGGAGGTCTTCTCCCAAGCTGGCTCCCTGAGCTGCTATTGAGCCAAAAGAGAAACGAGAGCATAAAACAATGTAACATAAATGATCAGTGAGAAAGGTGCTGGCAGTACATCTTGTCAAGCTCAGCTGTTTCATTTTTGGTAGAGCGGGATCCTGCTGTTTGCTAGGGCCTTGGGCTTTAGCCTAGAGTATCCTATGCATTAATCCACCCCTGATTATGGGACCCAATGCATTGTCATTGAGATGGTGGTGTGAGGTTACCATCCTTGGAGCTCGTCCCTAAGATGCCAACATGCCATCAGATAGACATCTGAAGAGATCGATTTGACAGGCAGGTAACTGGTTGCTTCAGACTGATCTTTGCTATTAATGAAATCACTATGAGACAGGCAGAGCATAGCATTCAGAGGAAAGAAGTGGGTAAAATACTGTAAATTCAAACCCTCCATCCTTAGAATATTGTGGTAGTCATATTGCATTATTAATAATAACAAGCGGGACATAGTGTAGTGACCTTTGATTTGTTCGCTCAGTTCCTGCCCTCACTGTGTGTGAAGTTGATCAATTCTGTCCATATTTATTTTGGTCAAAGACATGCAGTGTAGCTGTCTCTAAAACCGTGTTTCTCAAGCTGGCCCTGAGACAATGCAAGTTTTTTCTTCCTACCAGGAGCTGGGAGGGAGCAAAAATGTGGTCTGGGGGTCCCTGACGACTGGGTTGAGAAACACTGCTCCAAATAATCTAGTATGTATGTATGGGATGTTCACCTGGCATCCCTTCCAGACTCTCCCCTAACTCATCCTGTATGTTCCCTGGGACTGACTCCAGATTTGCCACACCCCTGCAGTGGTTGATGACTAACAATAACCACATTCCGTGTTGAGAGACTTTCACCTGACAAATCCTGTCCTCCTGTTTTGCAACTCTCAAGAGTGAGGAAGGGGGCGTGTCTCACATGTCTTCTGCGAGGAGGAGATTTCATAACAGACCACACTGCAGTCACTGGACTATACAGCACAGTAGGAACCAGTATAATAGGCTGTGTCAGTCCTCAAGGGCTAGAGAACCACAGCGTCAACAGGCACCTGGAAGGTAAGAGGCAATTGCCTAAAGTCCCTTCATTAATTTATAAATGGACACTAGACCATCCCTTGACCCTCAGGGACCAGGCCTGGTCACTTCACTGGGGCTGATCTCTCTTTTGTGGTATAGCTCCAGCTTGGAATCCAAGAAGAATCTCAAGAGAACTTGGTTCCATGGTATTTTTGACAGGTTTCTCAGAACAGTCAGGGTCCTGTTCAGGAATGTATGTATAGGGAAAAGTTCAGTATTTTCATTATTGTCTTCAGTGGCTTGCTTTCAAACTGGCAGCTATTAACCTGTGAAAGCACTTCAGCGAAGCACACAGTGGTATTCCCAGGATGCTTTTGCTATTTTATTTTCTAAGTTTAAGGTAGGCCAAACACATTTATCAGCTGTATTTGTAGAAAAATACAGGACTGTGCATGCATCAACTGCAATGTGACAGATACTACCTCCTTTAACTAATCCTTGAGTATGAATATCTAAAATCTCAGAGTTAGTCTGTTGTCTGAAATAAATGGTGACTTATTCCTTATTTTTACTGCTACAAATGCCAGGCAACTCGGTTCAGGAAATACCTAGTTAACCAACTTACATGTGGAGGCTTGAATCTGTGAAACTTGTTTCTGGTGAGATGGGGAGGAGCTGAGCCACTGAGGGTGGATGTTGAGGGCGGTTAAGAGGACTGACTGTGTGAACTTTCAAACAAAATTGTCACTGTTTACTTTACCTATTCCTCAGTGATATAACTGGGCGCTGTGCCTTACTGGACGGCAGAAGCTTTCAGTGCAGAGACAGGACAATCCCCACTGGAAAGAGACTCTGCCACAGCTCAGCACAAAACTGGTTCCCATGAGGCAAATTGACCTGAAGATCATTATATTGGGAGCACTTGGGTAGGACAAATCTTTATTATGTAAAAGAGATCAAATGACTAAGTTGCAAAAGAAAAAAAACACCTGCCACTACTATTTTGGACTTCCTTTTCCAGGCCTAGGAGGCTGGACTTCCCTTTGGGTCTGGTTAGGGTTACAGCTTCCTCTGCTGACCCTGGGAGGCTGGACTCCCCCTTTGGGTCTGGTTCCTCCCAAGGTTTCTTTCTGCTAAGGAATTTCTCCTTGCCACTGTCACCTCTGGCTTGCTCATTGGGGGCATTGGATAGGGATAATGTAATATTGTAAAAATGTGAATATTGTGAATATATAAATACATTTGAATTGAACTGAATTGGTAAACACTCTAATACGGTCAGTAGTCCTCTGTCTGGGCTGAGATATATGTGTCTCATTCAACTTTTTGGTTCTCAGCTAACTATGTTCATGTAGGTGACGGTAGTTCCTGCTTAAGTAGCCCATTTCGGTTTCATCACCATCTGGTCCTGATGTGTAGGGTGGGAAAAACCTCCATCTTGCACCGGTACATACACAACATCTTCTATGAGGACTATCGTTGCACTCTGGGAGCCAATATCCAACAGAAGGGCATCAGTGTGAATGGCCAGGCTGTTAGGTTACAGGTAAGCTGCCCTTAGAGCGATTACTGACATGCTACACACCCAACCCATCTAAGACAGACATGCTGTCCAGCACTGAAACCTCATTATGCTCAATATTAATGCACCACACAGGCACTCAGGTGCCTAGACACTCAGTCACGATAATACAGAACCCAACACAATGCACAGCACAGACCTACTATCAGCACTGACACACACTGACAAAGCACTGGAACAGAGATTTAGTGCTATAATGTATTGCATGTTTATTCCTGTGCGAGGAGAGTGAAGGACAAATTCCTCACTGCATACGATTCTACAATCCTGCCACTCAAAAAGGGCCATGCAGAGACTTAAAGGGACAGGTGCTCGGCTGGGGGGGAGGGTGTGATGTTATGTAACTGGGCAAACCTCTGTACCTGCCTGCCTCCAAATCACCTGAGCTGTATTCCAGTGCCAGTGACAGTACACCTTTTCCGGCAGGTCTGGGACACTGGAGCACAGGAAAGGTTCCGCTCGATGGTCTCACTTTTCTACAGGGGGCTGGATGGCTGCATCCTGACCTTTGACCTCACAGACCAGGACACCTTCAGAGAGCTGGACAGCTGGAGGCAGAGCATTCTGGAACAGAGCCAGGCAGCGGACGCTGACTTACCATTTATTGTTCTGGGCAACAAAGCAGATGTTAAGGACAGACAGGTGAGACTGTTGTTTTGCCCCTGCTGTAAATCAGGAGGCCGTAACAGGTGAGCAGGGGACTGAAGTGCACTACAAGCAGGAAGAAGAGTGATGTAATAATGTAATAATGTAGTAATGTAAAAATGTAGTAATGTAGTCCACACGGATTTGGGAAGATACAATATAATGGCCCTTTTATTCACCCAATATTACGGATATGCAAATAATCATGACACTGAAGGTAATAAGGGACAAAGATGGAGCCAAAGAAAAGAAAAGAGACAAATAAAACAGATCTCAAAACCCTAATCCTTACTATCAAGAAGAAAAACAAAGAAAAGAAAATTACTTAGCTATACTGTCCAAATGAAACATATGGATTGGCACCTACCCTCCTTGTTAGTGTAGCTCTGCGTGGATGTGTAGATGTGTACCTCTTGCCTACCCAGTCTCTTACCCCGTGCATATATGTAAGATGGAAAAAAAAAGTTAGCATCAAGAGATAGCATAAAGGAAGGCACAAACAAAATCTTCACAAGCTTCAGCCAAACCAGTCCATCTCAGGAGCAGCCATCTTTGAACATTCTGCTCATCCCACTTTGCAGGCTGTTCATTGCACAACACTGATTGGCAGAAATTCAACCAGTCATGGGACCAATAAGGTGACAAATAGTAAACAACAAAAAAAAAACAAAATACGTAGGTTTACGTTGTCAAGGAACTGAGAGGAATTGCGGAGGCGGGAGCGGGATTCAGGGCAAACAAGTGAGGTTAATTCACTTAATTTAGGATTAAAAACAAAACAGGATTGTGGTGGATCAAAAGGGAGAGGCTAAGGCACACTAGACAGGGGCACGCAACATCAATGATGGAACTAACTAACACAAGACAGGGAAGCACTAATAAACAGGGCTAACAAGGGCGCAAACAAGGGGCAGCTGGAGTGAATCCCTCAAGGGCTGGAACGAGAGGTAGGACAAGCAATCAGCAGATGTGACTCATTAAGGCCACGCCAGGAAGGCAACAGAAGGGTCAGGCAGGGCAGGACATGACATACGTGTGTACATGTAACACTGTGGATGGCTAGATCTACTCAGAGAAATGTTTGGACAAACTGCACACATGCTTTATACACTGTGAACTTGTACTGGATAAGCAGTTACAGAAGAATTTGGGGTTTTTGGGGTTTCTGGTAGGTTTTATACAACTATTATTAGCAGAACCTTTTTCTCTTGAGATGTAGGCCTGCTGCACATAATTTCCTGGCCTGGGACAAAATTAGGCCTCATGCAGAAGTCAGGTTAGGAAAGCTACACAAGGGTATTCAACAGCCAGTCCTCTGATGATACCTGTTACAACATTTGGATGATTTGTTCATTTTGTTTATCCCTGCACCCAGGGGTACTGCTAGAGATTTTGGACCCTATGAAGGCATATCATATTGGCCTCTCAGCCCAGACCAATCCAATTATATTCCAAATTTTTTAGGGCCCCAGTCAGTCAGGGGCCCTTGGAGTCATCCTTGCCCCCCCTACCCCTCACCCCCACCCCTGAGACCACTCTAGCCCAGTCATGGCATCCCTAAGAAGCTGAGTACTTTTGCAGGTGAGTCGGGCGGAGGCTGAGGCCTGGTGTAATGAGAGGAACCTGACCTATTTCGAGGTGAGCGCCAAGGAGAGCATCAATGTGGAGAAGGCCTTCACTGCAGTAGCCAGCTATGCCCTCTGCTGGGTAAGACATCTGTGCTACCATAACTCACACTCCTCTAGACCAGGTAGATGTACACTCATTCCAGCAGAGCCCCTGTCACCTTCCTGAATAGCAACAGTAGGAATGTACTTGTTTAAATCAACTCAAAGCGACAGAGGTGGTGGTAAGAACTGACAGGTTACTTAAGTATCATATTTCTACTCAACAGTGAAGCCCTGGCTGTCAAGTAAAATGGAAAGGGGTCCTGAATCACTTAAACCAGTGACTGCGCCAGGGTCCGACTAGTGAGGCTTCAGCTCCAAATCTTTTTGTCATGTTTTGTTCATTTGGTGTATAATGTGGCTTTGTTTACATGAAGTCCTGGAATAGTCAGAACCAAATGAGGAAGGATTGAAAGTAATTTTTCGGACCCAATGAACGTCTTTCACGTCACCCCGCTCTCTCTTCTCGGGTTGTTGCTGGATGGATACTGCAATTTTTTTTCTAAAAGAAGCAGGCTGAGCAGCAGCTGCATCAGAGCACGTTAAAGTTTCAGGTTTGCACGTTTGTGGCTGCATCGTCTGTCACGGTCTTATGCGAGCCCTTTGGCAGGGTTCTGGGTTAAGCCCTGGATCTGCCCTTACAGGAGAGCTGCCTTGGACACAAACTGCATTGACATCCATTCCACCACAGTGATGTGTCTGTGCTATACAGTCTTTTTTTCACAAAAATGTCAGCCAGCACATTCATTGCCACAACTCTGTGGGTATCAGTTAACATTATTCTCATCGATTGTGTGTAGAAGTGCCATGTGTCTGATGTTCTGCAGTCTATTTGTTAGGCTGATGATGTGTGATTGGTCAGCATTGTCTTGAAAAGTAACAAAAAAGTCTAACCATGCTTGGAGTCGGCCCCACGGTTTACTCACGTTACTCCCCCCCCACCTCACCTTTTGGCAGCACAAAGAGAAGTTTGTGAGCAACCTGACAGACTCCATCAAACTGAAGGAGGACAATAAAGGGCAGAAGACCTGCTGTGCGTAGAAGGTGAATTCCATAAGACAATTAGTGAATTAGTGCAGATGGAACCTAGAGTCCATTGTGTCTGAAGCTGCTTGTTGCAAGGGACCTTTGGCTTGAACCTCTCTAACCCTGTTGTATCGCTCATTATTGTAGGCAGATATATCTCAGAATATTAGGTGAATGATCTGCTGTTTTTACTGGCTGCCCATTATTTTGACATGGATGTCATGAGGGGCCGGGTGGGATGACACCAACCAGGAGATGTTTGGTTTTATTTTTCTTGTTTACATGTTTAGATTTTATTTGAAATGGCACTTTAAATATAGTAGTTGGCCAATTTTTAGGTATACCTATAGAGTATATATACCTCAAATTTTCCAATCCTATCCTGAGATCAAGAATGGAGTAAAAAGCAATCCTGTACCAATTCCACCATCTCAAGTTCATTTACAGTAGATCCAGAGACTATGTCCCACTAGTCAAACAGTATTTGCCTTTTAAGGGTACCCATTTAAATCTGGTCACTGTATTTCCATATTTCATTCTGTGGTTGATATTATTGTGTTATTTGTATATTGTTTGATGTTATGTGTAATGTCTGTTGTATTATAGTGTACCATTAGTCAGAAATAATGCACGTCTTTTATACAATGCACAAGTGTACAGGTCACTGCCTCTGTGTGAACAGGCTCCTAAGCTCTAAACCTCAAGCTCTCTCTCAATGACCATGAGAAGAGCTTTGCTACATAATCGCTACATTGCCCGGTGAAGTATGTTCGGTGGACAGTCATTCTAACCCAGGTTATTGAGTGATACTGGTAATTAGTGAATCCCATTCAAGTCTCCCATTAACAGATGAACTCGGGATTCCATAATAGAGTTTCCAGGAACCAACCATTCAGGCACAATAATTGATCAATAAACATCATCATAAACAAATAAAACAATAAATAAATAAAAACAAATAAACAATAAAAGAATAATTAATTTCCCTACACATTGATGGAGATCAAAATTATTTGAGCTGATTTTTCCTACAGTACTGTAGTGGAGTATTTATTAACTGGTATGTCGTGACCCAAAAGCAGGTTTGCAGTGTGTGGTTTTTAAAAAGTTACTTTTGCTGTTGTCACACCCTACCCTAGTCAACAACATTTTACTTTTTTGGCATGAAACTTAATGACCACGGAAAAATGTGTCTTGAGGTAGGGGTGTGTGGGTTGGTTTCGACAAACCAATAAACTGGTAACAGCAAACAGTAGGTAGTGCCTTGGATTTCTTCCTCTCTCACATCCGCGCCCTCATCCCAACATGCAATGCGCAACATGCAGCACACTTCCTATTGGGCAACGTGACAGCATGAACGGCATGGGGGAGTTGATTCCAAAAAGAATTCAGCATCGGTAAAGGCGAACTTCTTAGGGTTTTCCAAAACCGACACGGTGCAAACAACAGTTATTTGCAAAATTTGCAAAGATAAGGTTCACGCATTGGATGGCAACTCAATGAACCATTTTAACCAGTTCAAAAGAGAACACCCGGACGAGTATGGGAACTGTTCAGTAACTTGCAAAATAGTCTTACAAACCAACTTGAAGAATAATCGTGATAAATTTGTGGATCATGATCCTACTCGAAAAATGTTAGAAGCACCACATCTGGCATCAACATTCATACCACATTTAAAATAATACAGAACATGCCATTTTAATGCTTAGACAAACAGTAACTGAATCACTTTAGCCTGTTTATGTGTATGTGTATGTGTATGTATTTATACGTGATTCACTGCTTGAGGGAGCAGTGATCAGGTGTAGCTAATGAAGTGCTCACTGAGTGTAGGATTTATACTTCAATGTTCTACCGAACATTACATTTAGATAAATATCCTTATAAGGAAATCTAAATGCAACGGACACCCTAAGGTAAAACCAGGCATCTTTCACTGTGGTTTAGTGGAAAAATATGCCGTCATCTTCAGTGTCAGCAGAAACCACATGTGATCTTGGTTCATCAACCACAGTGTTACAGAAATAATGCCTCTATCAGTGCAGTTTGTTCCCTTTTTCGGGACACACACACACACGCACGTGCACGCACGCACACACACACACACACACACACACACACATTGGGTAAACATATATTTTTATGGGGACCGCTCTTTCATTCCTGTGGGAAAATGCTAACGCTAACTATGACGGCCTTAACCCCCACCCAGCCCTAACCATAAGTAACCAAGCAAAATACAAGAGTTTTTGCATTTTTAGTTTTTTCATTGCAGTCACAGATTTTTATTAAATTGAGCTTTCCTTTATGGGGACCAAGAAACTGGTCCCATAAGGGGAAAAAGACAGGTATTCATCACTTTGTGGGGACATTGTGTCCCCATAAGGTAAGGTATACCCACTCGCACGCACACACGGTTGAAGAGCATTTCAAAGTATCTTTTCTTCAACATCACTATGTCCCGCTGCAGACTGATGATGATCGCATAGCCTACCTGTGCAGAGACAGAGAGAGTCACAAAGTGAGACCTCCAGCTAGCAACCCCCAAGCTCAGCATCAAGTCTCATTCATTTGATCTTGGGTCTTACTTTTCTTCAGTGATATGATGATGCTGCTCAGAACAGCCCCTGAGGACATCAGCCAGAAGAGCAGCCACCTTGCCCAGCTCCACACACCAAAGAGAGATGCTGGATCCTCCTGGCCAGTCCGGCTGCACTCCAGTATGTGGATCAGGCTGCCAAACACAGTTATGCAGCGTGACAAGAGTTTCCAGGATCTAAAGCATAATTTAACAGTGGTGTTTTTATGCATGTTAGATTTGCGCCTAACCTTGATATTTAGTGTGCACTACTGGCTTTCCTTATGGTATTCCATGGGTATCACTGTAGTCTCACGCCTCTCCCACTGGCATTTTGAACCCCACCTGTGTGTGTGTGTGGAGTTTGCAAGTTCGGTCACATGTCCGTGCGAAGAGCGAGATGAGGCAAAGAGAATTACCCCACAGGAAATAATGAAGTATCACTATTCTATTCTAAAGAGCTCATAGTATATATGTGAGTATGTTTGCCTTGAGGTCGACTGGTGTTCAGATGAGCAGTTATGGATGGATGTTGCAATTTCTGGTCTAGCTTCGCTTCCCAAACAGGCTCTGTTTATCTCATGACCAATGCACAGATGCCTTGATACCTGTTTGGTGTTTGTGTTTCACCTGGTCCACCCATATGATCCAGCTTCTCACCTGTTGATGTGACAGTGTCAGGTTCAGTACCAATAGGCTCACAATGTCAGGGTGAATGTCATTGCAGTTCTCAGAATCCAGTGCTGGAGCACCGAGTCAGTGCTGATATCTAGGAACATTGTGGTGATGCTGACTTTTCCTCTACACTTGAATTGGGGGTCAGAAGGCTGTACATACCCTGAGACACATGCAGTGTGAACCGCCGGATGATGTCTACGCCAAACAGCATGGTAGACGCGCAGCAGTACTCCCCCGTGTCCGTGGCCCCCACCTCCACCATGCTCACCTGCACCTTGCCCTTCTGCCACTCATCGCTCACCTCCAGCCGGCCCATGTGGCTAAGGGCCACCCAGCCATTTGTCCGGCCCAGTGGCACCAGTCCGCTGGGACTCTGTCGGTACCAACCTTTGACACGCTGCCGCTGCAGAGGGCTGTAGCGGCAGAGCAGAGTGATGTTTGCTCCCTGAGGGACTCGGATCTCCTGATCCCCATCGACCAAGTAGCCTGGGGTGGAGAGCCACTGTTACACAAAGGCTGCCTTAATGGCGGGTAGACAGGTATGTCATACTCGGGCATGTATCTCAATGGCTTATGCTGAGAAGGAAAAATAAATATGCAAATAAAGGTTTTGGGTGTGAAGAAACATGCAGGACACACAAAATACGTAAAGCAAATGCGATGCGTTTGGTGCTTTGCAAAAGTATTATACCCCGATGATCAGATTTGCCTGAATTACAAATGATAAATAAACCAAATACTGATCTGTTGGAGTTGAATACTTATGAAAGTGGCATTATTAAGTTTTTGATTTGCTTTGAAACAATAGCTGACAAAATCATTGATTTTGACTTTGTAAATGTACCATATAAATTTGCAATAAAAAATACTGGCAGGAAGAATATGGGTTCAATACTTTTGCAAAGCACTGTACATTAGCAAGACATGAATGCTAAAAACCACTCGCTTTTTTGCATATTTGTGAGCAGTTAAAGAATTAATGTGCACGTTCACGCGTGGGCACGTGTGGATGTGTGTTCAGGAAAAAGGGACAAAATGCACTGATAGAGGAGCTATTTCTGCAACGCTGTGGTCGATGAGTCAAGATCACATGAGGTTTCTGCTGTCACTGGAGCAAGATGACCAGCATATTTTTCCACTAAGCCACTGAGAGAGATGCCTTGTTTTACCTTAGGGCATCACTTGTATTCTTACTGTGCACTTAAACAGAAGAAATGGTGTCTCTGAAGCATGACTCTGCAGAGACATCTTGAGGGGCAGCTACTCAAAGGTTAAAAAAGGGGTTCACGACAGCTTTAAAGCTCACGCACAAGTTCACATTAAATAATTTGGGCAAAATGGCAGGTGCTCAGCCACCCCCAGCCCCCCCAATTGTGCGTGTGTTTGTTCCATGTGATGGACTGGCATTCCATCCAGCATGTACACCAGCCTTCTGCCCTGTATTCCCTGGGAGTGACTACAGGCTTGCCGTGATCATACTCCTACTCGAGCTACCATGGGCTCTCAGGTATTATTCTCAGTGCTCATGATGTCTGTTAAATCAATACTATTAACAGAATCGATAAAATGGACACCATTGTAAACCCGATCGTCACTTGATTGTAGAGCAATCCCCCATTGTTTACATCTCTGAAAACCTGAACACTATGTGATTGCCCCTGTGACTGGCATAATACCTCTTTGTATTATCCAATTTCTAAATATTTTTCTATGCAGCGATTTCATCTTTTTTTCATTTCATCTTTAGTTTTTTTGTTTTTAGTTTTTTCTTTGTTTAATTGTATTTTGGTATTTCTAATTTTTTTCCACTCCAAAGAGTAAATGAACCATTATAAATAAATTAGCATAGCACCTCACACGATTGATTAGTCATTGAATTAAATGTAACGGTAAAAGGAAACATGCATCTAAACCACTGATATTACAAAGGCAGACTAATAAAATGCAGTTTGTTTTGTAAAGCACACACGCAATAATTTATATTTTTTATTTCCTGCACCATGTCCTGTTTGCAATATGTATCCTTCTTTATATTTGTGCAATGTACTTTGGTGCTGTATGCAAAAGAATTTGCTCCTGGGATCAATATAGTCTTATTTTATCTTAATGAAAAACAACCCCCCAAGAAGAACATTATACATAAATATACAGAAGATGCTAATATTTCGCTTAAAAACATCATTAAATATTTTATTATATACTTCTTTTAAGTGCATTGCGATTAGCTACAGCTGAGCTAGCATCAATCCCAGCCAAACAGAAGTTCTGAAGTCTTACCTATGGTGGCTGCGATTAGCACGGCTGGCCACCACGTGATCATGGCCAAGTCTGGTCAGACTGAGGTAGATCCACTGAGCAGGATGGAGACAGAGCCCACCTGACACGCCGGTCCCCTGGAGCCTGGTGCTAGCGCACTCCGAATGAATGACCGCCAAGTGACTATTGCACAACCTCTGTGGAAGTTGCTGGCTTGGCCCTTTCAGAGGTTGGAGCTCTATGTTCCTGCAGAAAAAACAGGCAACTTGTGTGCTCATAGAAAAAACAATGAAATCTGTTTCTGGTCTTTGTTTTGCATGGCCATTTCATATCTTTTGCCTGACTGAAGGGGGGTGGGGGGCTATTGGATCATTTTGTCTCATTTCAGTGAATTGAGCAGACTATCTGGACAGCAATGGCTGAGAATTTACATAAGAACATAAGAAATTTACAAACGAGAGGAGGCCATTCGGCCCATCAAGCTCGTTTGGGGAGAACTTAACTAATAGCTCAGAGTTGTTAAAATCTTATCTAGCTCTAATTTAAAGGAACCCATGGTTTTAGCTTCCACTACACTAGCAGGAAAACTATTCCATACTCTAACTACACGCTGCGTAAAGAAGTG